CCCTGTTATCCCATCATACGGATGCAGTAGGGTGGACAGACATGGCCGGAGGGACTTCCCCTTATTATTTTATTCACAAGTCTTAGACCATCAGGCTCTCCCTCTCTTGGAACTGTCTTTACATCCACAGAATCTTCATGGACACTTCTATCCAAAATCTAACCATATAAAACTGGACCCAAAAATCTGCTACAAAAATCTTTCCTAATGGGCTTAACTGAAGTGGCCTTTTCCTTTGAATTTCACAAACAATGTCCATCTGTGTTACTTGCTGTCTCACCTTGACCTGCACCTGGGGCTCCCATGCCTTGCTAGCACTATTACTTAGCTCCTCAAGGATTCTCATCTTAAATGCTTCTCTTATAGTATTTAGCACACAAACATAAAGGACCTAAGTGAGTACTTTTTAATGCCACACTGTAGATTCCTGTCTGGATTAGTTCTTCATTTCCCACATTTCTTTTTTGCTTTCATTGCTTATTGCCAACAATACGCTTCACCCTTTCCTGAAGGAAACCAACTTTGAACAAGCATTTAGCAAAATCAAGCCTTACAGCTTCCTTTCTGTTTTCTAGGACCTCCTGCCAGCAGTCATTTTTTTCTTTCCCCTTTTTATTTTGGTCATGCAAACACTGAAACTGCTTTTTTAACTACTTCATCCAAAATGATACTTCTTAATAAATCAGTGCTAGAAAAAAAAATTTGTTCTACTGAGGCACACCTTTGTATACTTCTTTTTATCCCAATTTTGTGCTTCATGACTCATACTCCTGTACAAAGCCACGTCAAGTCACCTTTAATACAAGGCTGCATGCATATTTCTAGACAAAGATATTATATCTATAACTCCCTACTCATCTTGCAAAATCAATTTCTTAATTTGTCTCCTCATCCTTCAACTAGAAAGAAAACCCCATAATAAGGGATAAAAGGGATCTCTTGGTCACTGCTACATCCCTGGTGCCTAGAACAGTGGCTGGAACTTTGTGGTGCTTGGCAAGTACCTGTGGAATGAATGTTGGTTGAATGAATCTACAGAGAGCCACCAGATCCTGCTTCTCTTCACCGGCCCCGACCCCGACCTTACGAGGAATATGACCAGCAACGAAAACACTCAAGTGAGCCCATCACGGTTCAATAACTGGTTCACCATCTAAGTAGGGATGTGATCTGCCATGTTGAATCACAATCTTCCCAGCTGTCAACGAGGATATGAACAGGCTTCTAGCAAGGACCGCATAGGACAACGCAGTTGAATTACTTAGCACAGAGCAAAGTGCACACACCAAGAACTAATTGTGCTTCTTTTCCTCATACTTCTCCTTTTTGCCATAGTCCACCTGTGGATCAGCCCTTCCTTCCCCTTGTCACCTGCAAAAAATCTTGACCCTGACAATGAAACTATTTCGACTCAAATACAAGTAAATCCACAGACTCATAGCGAGGGTCTGATAGTTTTTTCCCATATGAATGAATAAAGTATGTGCACTTGAAAGACAGAGGTTAAGACATCTACTGAGCAACTCAGGGTCTACATTTCTGTGTTCATATCTTAGTTTTCAACTGAGCTACTTGCCCATGAGTGCTGGTCTGCATTGACGTTTGCCGGAAGAGTCAGTTTTAACAGGCACAAATCAAATGGCTTGCATTATACAACTGAACAGTGAGAGAAAGCTCTCCATGTCACTTCCTGTCTTACAAAATTTATGAAAAAGTACACTTTACATTTTAGGTCTTTAAGGATCCTCAAATGCTACTCTGATTTTAAGAGATCTTTTTCTAAACTATTAGCTGGGAATAAACCACTATCTTTGTTGTATATGTTACCACGCATACTTTCAACTCTTCCAGAACTCTTTATATATAGGAAATGTCAACACTGCAAACGAGGTATTTTTAACTCTTGCTTTATTCTGATTGTGGTTATACCAAATAAGGAATGGTGCTCAGTAAACATTTCTTTAGAACGAAGTGTTGTACTCAGCTTTTGACCTGAGGTAAAGCTGTTTCTCAGAAGCAAATCTTCAACACATGGACAATGCAATATGACATTAGATAATTGGCTACACTGAATACTCTTTAACTTTTGGGTTGTTTTATCTTTACTATGTCTTCCTAAGATTCTACAACCTTTAGTGATGGCCGCCCCATATTAATATTGCAATTTTTGATGGGGTGTTAACTTTAGGCCACTAAGTTTTCACTGGTTAGAATTTCCTGATCCTTAAACATGTAAAAGTAAGGTTCATAATTAAAAGCTTGCAAGAGAAAAGAACAGGAATATTTCCAAGCATCTGCTTTGCATAGAAAGGTCTTAACTGAAAGATATGATCTCTGTTTCTTTCTTTTTTTTAGGTAAGTAATACTGGTTTGCAACACTGTGTAGGTAGCCTGAGGTGAGCAGCTGTATATGTCATGACATGTTCACCATATCCAGTCACCATCCACCACCAGCCACTGGTCCCTTCTACCTGTTCCTCCCACATCCTTTTATCCCCAGTAACCACACTGTGTTGTCCGAGTCTAGAGTTTGCTTTTGGTTTGGTCTGGTTTATTGGTTTGCTTTTTCTCTTCCACAAATGAGTGACATCATATGTGTCTCTCTTCTTGTGATCTACAGATATTTCACTTAGCACAAACCCTTCAAGGTCCATTCATGTTGTCACAAATGGCAAAATTTTTTATAGCTGAGTACTATTCCATTGTATATATTATATACTGCATCTTTATCCATTGTCAGATACTTAGATTGTTTCCATTGGTTGGGTATTGTGGAATATTGCTGCAATGAACATAGAAGTACCTATTTCTTTTCAAAGATATATGTTTTCATATTCTTTGTGTAAATACTCAGGAGTGGAATTACTGGATCATATGGTAGTTCTATTTTTAATTTTTTGAGGAACATACATATTGTTTTCCATAATGGCTACCCCAATTTACATTCAAAGGCTCCTTTTTCTCCACATCCTCACCAACATGTATTATTCCTTGACTTTTTGATAACAATCATTCCAACCAGTATGAGGTGATATCTAACTGTGGTTTTGATTTGCATTTCCCTAATGATAGGGGATGTAAAACATCTTTTCATATGTCTGTGGGTTGTATTTCTTTGGTGAAATGCTGTTTAGATTCTATGTCCATTTGTAATCCATTTTTAATTTTGTTGTTGTTGAGTTATAGGAGTTGTTTATGTTGGATATCAACTCCTTGTCTGATAGATATTGGCAAGAATCTTCTCCCCCAGAGTAGCCTGCCTTTATGTTTGTAGTGGTTTCCTTTTCTGTGCACTATGTGGTTCCTGCTTTTAAAAGCAGTTCCCAAAGAAACATTAAAAGAGCAGACACATCAAGTTCACCCAACTTTGGAAATAAAGGTCAGCAAAATAGAAGTAGAAAAATTTTTAAGCTGAATATACAAACTGAATATACAAACACATATTATCTTTGTTCATGCCAACTCCATTTTCTGTAGTCATAACCAACCATTCCATAGTTCATGGTTACACTCTATGACAAAAGGGAGGTAAATCTTAACAAACTTTTATTTTTTTACATTAATGATTCAGGCAATTCTTGGAATAGCTTCCACTTGAAAAAATGTAACTAAGTGGTCCTATCAAGAGACTCCCCAGCTGTTGGCAGCTCAACTCTGGAAATTCCCTCCTTTCTGTCCATTCCAAACTATTCCTAAATTCAAATTAAGAAGTTTAATGACTCCAAAGAGCCCGTTTTGCTTCCAGTGAACTGTGAGTTCTACATATTCGATATTAGAATACGCAGAATTTTTTTTTTTAATTAAAGGGGGAGGAAGGAGACAATACAGGAAACCTAGCCCCAAAACCCAACTTTGGGGTAAGCCAAAATCCCTTACCCCATCCCCCCCTGTCCTCACAAGGGGAAACTGAAAGAGCTGAAGCTGAGAGTCAAGCTATTTAGGATCCAGGGGTTCTAACACTGGGATCAGGAGGTGATGACAGCCAGGAGGTCTGGGTAATGGCTCCAAAATGGGGCACCCACTGCCCTGGGCGACCTTGGCCACTTGCCAAGATACAGCTTCCCTCTCCCCACCCCGCCCCCCACGGGAGCAGAACAGGATGGTGGAAAGCAAAGTCAGTTCTGCAGAGATCTTAAGGCCGGAATCCTGTCCCACCCGCCTTCTTCCCGGTTCCAGACCCCGCTCCAGTACCTCCAACGACCAAAGGGAAAGCAGACGTCTGAGAATATGTCAACACATGACATAACTTGAAAAAGCTGGCTGCTCATTGGCGCGAGTTACAACTTGTCAGGCTCACACAGGAAAACCAGCTCACTTTAATTACTTTGCTTTAATATGCCCCGCCGTCTCTTCCAGGGCCCCGCAGAGGTCGGGGTACTGAGACCCAGGTAGCCCGGGTGACAGGACCAAGGATGGGGGCGGTCAGCTACAGGCGGGGAACCCCCGGGGGCCCGCGAAGCCGCCGCGGAGCTCGTCTCCGGACGCTCGCGCACCTGGGTCCCCGCACGGCCAGGAGAGGCAGCCTCCGCGCCGAGGGGCGGCTCGCGGGGCGGCCGAGGTGGGGATCCGGGCGCGGCGAGGACCCCCCCCCGCCCCGGGCTGGCCGAGGGCGGCCACCTTTGTCTGGTCTGCCCCCCAGTATGGGCGACGCCTCGACGCCGAGAGGGCTCGCCCGGGACGAGGCGCAGCGCGACTCCCGGGTTCCCAGCCCCGCGCGGGGCCCAGGACGCCGGAGCCGCCGCCTGAACCTGGCGTCTCCCCCGGGGCGCGCGGCGCCCGCCCGTGCCCACCGCGGGCCGCTTCCCCGGCGGGCGCGCGGCAGGGAGCTGGAGGCGCGGGCGTGGCGGTCAGCGCCCCCCAGCGAGGGGGACCGAAGCCCTCTGCGGGGTCCGCCCCCCGGGCCCCTCATTCGGAGACACCGACCGTGGACCCCCGGCGAGGACAAACCCCGGGCCGCCCCGCGTGGGAAGGCTCGCCGGCCCGCGCCCGCCCTTTCTCACCTGCCTGCACCGTGTCCGAGAGGTCGTGCCCCGGGGCCGCAGTTCTGGGAAATTCCTTCAGTTTCCTGGCGCTGAGGTTCAGCCCCCCGGAGTTGGCTGCCTCCTCGAGAGCGCGCTCCAGACCCCGGTTCAAGGGCAGGTTGAAACCCCCGGAGCCGCCGCCTCCCCCGGGCCCGCCGCCGCCTCCCGCGCCCCCGTGGTGCTGATGGTGGTGGTGGTGGTGCGGGTGATGATGGGGGTGCAGAGTGGCCCCCGAAAGGGCAGGGACGAAAGGCTGGGGCTCGCTCCCCGGCGTCGCCATCTTCTCCCGGGCCCCCCCGGCCCCGCCGCTCCTGCAGGGGGGTCACGGCTTTCCCGCCGGAGGGGTCGGCAGCGGGCGCGTCCTCGCGGTGCCCGCGGCCAGGCGCGGGGAGCAGGACGGGAGGGCGCGGCGGGCGCTCGGAGCCGGGCGCGCGGGCGGCGCGGGCGGCCGGTCTGGAGGTTTCCCGTACCGGGGAGCCAGGCCCGCGGCGGCGGCAGCGCGCATGTGTCTCCTCCGCCCCTGCGCCCTCCTCCCGCCGCTCTCCCCTCCTCCGCCGCCCGCTCCCTCCGCCTCCTTCCCGGAGCTGTCAGTCCAGCCCCAGCCTCGCTCCGCCGCCAGCCCCGAGGGCCCGCGCAGCTCCGGCTCCCCTCCCCGCCGCGGGGCTGTCGGGGGGGGGGGAGGCGGGGGGGCCGCGCGTTGCGGGGTTGATGTGAGGGGGCGGAGCTGGGTGCTCAAGCGGACACTTTCGGTTAGACCCTGACGCCTCTTGTTTTTGTTTGATTTATGCTGCTTTATTTGCTGTCCAGGGTGTTTTAGGGCACAACAGGTTTTAGGGGGTCTGAGAAGACCGCAGCAAGCTAGCAGTAGATGAGATCTGAAATAGAAGGAGATCCTGAGAAGGTCGGTGAAGAGTTATCTCAATTGTGTTCATTTTTTTCCCTTTTTGATCCCAGCAGCGGTTTCTCACTAGCAGGCCAATGGAAGACCCCTAGCGTTCATCACTTGCAGGGAGCCAGGTGCTGGTCTGGGTAGTCTACAGTAATTATCTCATGAACCAGGCAACCATGAGCCAAAAAACTGTTTTCCCCCATTCTAGAGAGGAAGATAAAAAAAACTTGTCTAAGCTCATCCATGCGCTCCGAGGAATTGGATTCTCACTTGTAGCCCTTTGACTCGAGGCTGGCCTTCTTTCCCGTATGTTCTTGGACAAGAACAGCGAGGCAGAAGGTTTCGTGAGCAATGGTGAAAAACTTATAGACAGAGGTAAGAACTTTCAAAATGAATGTAGTTTTTATGGTGGACAGAATACATCGCCATGTGAAGGACAGGGGCCTGCAATGGCTGACTGAGCATTGGGGTAATTAGGAAGCCAGTGACCCCCCAACAAGTCAGTAACTCAATCACACTTTGAACCTGTGCACAGGTACTGTCAAAGTGACCCTGGGGAGGGAGGAGGGGGGAGGGGAGAGAGGGGGTGGGTAGGCATGGGAACTGACAAAGCAGCTGTCAAGCTAATTCTCATACCGCCCAGACCAAGACTGACACACCACCAGGGCAGGCCAGCTGCAAGATTTGACAAGGTACCATTCTTTCCCAAGTCACAATAGCCTTTATTTTTGCCTTCATTGCCCAAGACCTGATAGTTACTCAAAGTACCTGGCTTGGGGAAATGAGGCTGGGGGCAAGGAAGAAAATAATGCAACCCTTGGAACAGGGGAGCCAATTTTTAAGTGGTCACAAAGGAAAGGTGGTAGCCTGGGAAGACAGGCTGGAGTGTGTGGTTTCTAGACTAGGCACTAAAGTATGACAAGATCTGTTCCACTTTCTCTGATTTCATGCGCAATCCGCCTTAATTCCTCAGGATCCAAGACTGAGAATAAAACATTCTATCTTCTCAGAGAAGACAGGCGCCACCTGCTGGTATCCTTCCCCCAGACCTGCTCTCTCATGAACCTCTTTTTCCCTTCTGTCCCCCAAACTTTTAAAGGCCAGGTTTCAAAATGAAAGAATACTTATTTCACTTATAAAAATTAGACCTATCTTCCCATTTCCTTACTGGTCTATCCCCCAAAAGGCAAGTGAGAAACATAGACACAGAAAAAAATTCAATTGAAAATCTTCAGCTAAAATCAGAGGATCAATAAGCAAGGAATGGCTGAAAACATCTCCCGTAAGATTTGAAATTTAGTTCAAATCACTAATTGTGCTGAGGCATGATACAGTACATATTTAAAAAAAAAAAACTACAAGTTTTTTTAAAAAAAGGAAATGAGGGGAATGGGTTCAGAATTTGATTTTGAACAAATGACCAGTTCTTATGTTAAGTTGGCCTAGTCATTATAGCTTGCCTTACCTCTTAAAGTTGACTAAAGTGTAAAAGCCTTGAGGGAGGAACCTATTTATCTCGGCAACTCCCTCTCCATATCCCAGAATCTAGAAGAGTACTTTGTATATAATGAGTTTGCAATTAATACTAGTAACTAAGTAAGCATTGTATAATTGACTTAATCTTTTACAGATGGCCACTTTGATGTCCCTGAATGAAGGAGTTTTTCCAAAAAATGGGGAAGAACTTGATTCTTGTAACTGAACTGGATTTCTTCTAAACATTCAATACACTGTACAAGTCATTTGAGAAAATAACTTCACCATTCAATAAGGTAGACATCTCTGTTTTTTATATGAAAATGTTACCCTTTTTCTGTTCCACTCTCCCTACTCCATGCACAATGAACCTCAGACCAAATGACAGAGCGAGCAGAAGATCCTGATAATATTCAAACTCGAGATTCTTACAATTCCTGATTCTCATCTTTGGCTTCTATGAGATAACCAATATATTTGAAATACATTTTGTTGTTTCCTGAGTTAATTTAGTTTTCCATGAATGCAAGCAAGAGTTCTAATGAATGTATTCAATTTACCCCATTTAATATTTATTCCCCCTTGTTTTCCTATGTATCCACAATTTTAGATAGTCCAAAAATAATCTGTCATAAATTAAATGATGGTGACAGATTTTTTTCATGCTCTGTCTTTATTACTTTCCAGTCATTTCCAAAATATAAATAGAATTGAACTTATTGAGAAAATGGAAATAGAAATATTCTTAGCTTAAAAGTAACCTATTTCATCAAGTGAAAATCAGAGTGCATTAAAAAAAAAAAAAAAAAAAAGCTTGTGCTCAAATCATAGACTCTTTCACATTCTAGATCTAATGATTTTATTCTTGCCTGGGAAATGGAGCTGTGGAAAAACGTATAAGAATCAAACTTAATAAGAATAGGAGACAGATTTGGAAGCAGCTGTGCAGCCCATATCACCTGTTTGAAAATCACAGAGAATTCTCCTTTGATGAGAACTGAAGACATTTGCTGAAGAGGTGATCAGCCATGTTTGTCCTTCATGGTCTCTACTACCCATGACAGAGACAGCTAACTGGATGAGAAAGGGCTGGTACAGAGTTATTCATTCCCAAGCAGCTAAGTTCACCCCTCAGGCAGCGGAAAATTTAAATAGCGACCACAATCAAATAAGAATAGGACTTTGACCCCCAAAGACAGGGCTTATTTACATCTTTTTTTCCTGGTTAATTCTCAAATAGCTCCAGGTCAGTTTCCTCTTTCCTAAAGAGAAACAAGGATAGTCTGATTAACACCTCCTTTTTCTGGTTACTCCTTTTACATACTCTCAGTACCTAAGTGTTCTCTTTATACTCTATCAGTAAACAGTTACATGTGATTAGAGAATGTTGTATTCAATAACTTTTAAAGTACATCAAGGACAGAGCTCAAGCCTTTTTTTTCCCTAGAAGATTCAATAAATAATACTGTCTGAGTAATTTATATATTTTAAGGTGACTAATAATATCAACATGAATTTCTCTGAAAATAATGAATAGTACTATTTTGTACATGTTTTAAGAGATTCCTCCAGCATTCCAAAACTCTCATCTGAACCACTTGGTTAGTGTCAAAGCAACCCTGGAAAAAATGAGAACAATTAAGACAATGTTAAAAAATTTTCATAAAATTCAGTGCATTCAGTTTCAAGGATTGTATGTAAATATGAGACTATGCATTTCCTACTTTTGTTCTAGTGGGAAAAAAATGGTAATAAGTTATAGTAAGTCTATCCTTATTTTAAAAGAAAAAAAATCAGCTGCTAAAGTCAGCTCTCAAATTAATTTTTTTATGTTACTTATCTGTGAAATCAAAAAGACTAGGAACTACTTGCTTGGACTCTTGCTTTTCTTAAAAGGGAGTTAGTCATACTTAACTCCAGTTACCTGCCTTCAAGCATTTTCTCAAGCTTTGCTCATACCAACTGTAATTTAATATAATGCCTGCAGATCTTTTTGAGGGTGTGTGATTTGTTTGTGTCTCCACCCCCACTCCTGTTCCATGTTGTAGGCATTCTCATTCCAGAATTTGCTATGAGCCTGAGAAAAAGAATGTTACCTACCTTCAGATTTTGAAATATTTCACAGCTGACCATTTTTCAGACCCAGCTTTTTGCCCTGTCTACCTCAACCCTGCCCCAAAAGCCTCAACCGCCACAGAGGCTCATTTTTAATCTCATGGAATAAAAGTAGCAGCTACTACCATATGGCCAGGCCCTGCTCTACCTCCTATTCTCCATCTCTCCTGCATTAAAGCAAGAGTTTCAGCTCCTGGACCAAGGAGACTTGTACAACCATACTCTGAATGACCACAGAGGAGCTCTCTGCAAATGAGCCAATTATGTTTGCTTTAATCTCTGTTCTATTTTCATAAATGTACTTGTTTTCAGGATTCCAATTCCAATTCTGTATGATTTCTATTATTCTTAAGTAATACTTTTTAAAAATTATATACACATAACATATGTATGGGAGACAATAGCATTTTGAAAGAATTTATGAGGGAAATATAGTTTGGACCCCCCAGAGAGAGAAGCTGACTGTAAGGAAAAGAATTTCTATGACTTAATGAGATTGTTTTCTCCTTAAATAAGTTGTAGGAGAAAAAATGTCAGTGTGTAATACCTAACCCTCTGGCTCCTGTCAGAACCAGAGAAAAAGGCTACCAGGAGAAGTCACTGGAAAGCCAGGGCCGGAGGACACCAACTGATGGGAATTTAACTTGTAAAGAGATACATTTTTAAATAACTGGATTTTTAAAGATGTGAATGTAACTATTAGTTAATGATAATATGATATAATAGCATTGCTTATGACTGGTTCCCCTAAATATTTCACCTATTTATTATGTTATTGATTTGAGACACAGGGCTAGCTAGAAATTAGGCAGTTAGGCACAGTGCAGGAGGGGACCTCTGAAGAATTTAGAGAGGCTTCAGAGA